GCTCCTGTTTTCCCTGCAATCTTGAAACACTAACAGGCACGAAGAAGGAAGTGTGGTCTCTGGAAGGCACGTTCGTTGACAAAGACGTCTGAGGGCTCAGAGCCTGTTTGCAGAGGAGGAGAAGGAATCTGTCTGCCGACTCGACTCGTCGAGCCTGGTGGTGAAGCAGCAAGCGGCCAGTGAGGCCCTGAAGAAAGGCAGGATTCCCACAGGCTGCGTTCGGCAAGCACTCATTCGGTGTTCACCAGACGTTGAGCAGAACCCAGAGAAGATGGATCTCTGTCCTTGGGAGCTCACGGTCAAGTGCACAGAGACATGAGGACCCAGACAAGTAGCTTCCAGCACCCCAGGTGCTGTGGGGACAGCAGGAATGCACAGGAGGGTGGAGTCGGTTGCTAACTCCTCGTGGGTGGTCTGGAATTGCTTCCCAAAGGATGGCAGGCGGGAGAGGGCTGGGAAAGACCACTCCGGGCAGCCAGGTGAAGGGAGAGGGAAAGCCCACCCAGGTGCAAACACAGCTCTAAGCGAACTCCAGCAGGACAGGTGTCAGATATCCGGGGAAGAGGGAAGCCATGGAATTTGCTAAAAATAACAAAATAAGGAAATGCTAAATTCTGGTCTGGACCTACACGGAATCACGGAATCACGCACACCACCCCCTCCTCTTTCGGTTCCCTTTACAGGCCTCAGCTGACCTCCTCCATTCCACGAGCCAGCTCTTAGGCCCTCTGGGCACTGTGCTTCTCATCAGCTGCTCTTAGAAAGATCCACGGTTTATCACTACTAAGGTGTAAATGACTGATAGGATCGTGTTGTAATTGCGTTGATTGGTATTATTTTCACAGTGGACAAAAATCCCAGACCAAGCGACACATTTTGAATTGTAGCATTTGTTAGCGGAGGCCATCAAGAGAACGTGGCTGCTGGCTGACCTGGGCAATGGGAGGCTCCCCACCGGCCCCACTCCCAGTCCTTGGAATGCTCGTTCTGCCTACCTGTCCCACAGTGGGAGCTGTTCCAAGGACACAGCCTGGAGAGAGCAAGGTGTTGTTGTTACCGTCTGGATCATATGCGTGACTGAACCCAACTAAGGCCTCTTTACACATTTTGAGGATTTGGCAGGGGGTGGCGGAGATCTAATCGTCCCGCAGCTGCCCAAGACAAGCCTCATAAGTGAGTTCCCTTTGCCGATTAAAAGTGCCACCTACTGGGGCGCCAGGGTGGCTTAGTCGGTTAAGCGTCTGCCTTCACAGGGTCCTGGGATCAAGCCCTGCGTCGGGCTCCCTGCTCAGTGGCGAGCCTGCCTCTCTCTCTCCCTCTGCCATTCACTCTGCTTGTGCTCTCTGGCTCTCTCTATCTCTCTGTCAGATAAATAAATAAAATCTTTAAAAAAAAAAAAAAAGTGCCAGGTACCAAGCTGGAGTGGCCTCCCTCTACCTTCGGTCTCTCCTTGCCTTCTGTATAGGGGGTCAGTTTGCAAAGTAACAGCAGGGGGCCCAGGCTTGGATAGATTAAAGGCCCCAGTGGGGGGAGAGTCGCAGGAGAACTGCCAGTGGCCCCTGGCCAGCCTCTGGTCCTTTAGGCCTACTTCTGCTCCTGCCATGTTGGCCCCTCCCTCAAGGACTCTCCTGGCTTCTCTGCCTGGTTAAGCGTCACACCTGGGCTTCCCCTTTCCTGCCCGGACCCCCTGGATTTCTTAGCATGGGTTGTGCAAGGACAGCTTGGGCCTTGGCTCACACTAGTGTCTGTCCTCACATTTACTCCCCCTCGTGCTGTGATGGGGGACATGGTGCATCTCACCAGGGCCCAAGGGGGCAAGTTGAAGGATACACCACAGTTCTCGTAGGCTCAGCTCATTCAGGAAGAAGATCAGCTATGGTTTTCAGGGACTCACTGACCTCAAGGGAAGGGACTTTTTTTTTTAGGGGATACTTTCCGCATGGCCCTGGAGGCTGGGTTCAAATGCCAGGCTGCCATTTACTAGCTGAATGACCTCGTGCTACATACTTCAAACCCTCTGTGACTCAGTGCCTTTGTCTACACATTGGGAATAATAATACTATATATCTCAAATGAGGGGTTGAATTAATTAATACATAAAGAGGCCTGAACAGAGCACTTCATCAATGCTCAGTTAGACTCCGTCATCACCGTCATCGTCGCCGCCACCGGCTAACCTCTTCCCATTTCCTCTGCTAAAAAAAACAGACCCTACTTGATTTTGGACCAGAAATTTTTGTAGTAATCCAGGGACTTCATATAAATAAGAAGCAACATATGTTCAGATGAAATGCAAAAGGGAAGTAGAGATAAGGGTTTCTCAGGTTTTAATTTTTATGGATATCAACGACGACGGCATGTTTGCAATGACAACGCATAGCCAGAAAACTTAAATGACACTTCCTCCGAGAAGGTATACAAATGCCTAATAAGCACATAAGAAGATACTCAGCCTCTGTAATCACATCACACCCATTAGGATGGCTATTATTAAAAGAATAGAAAATGATGTATTGGCAAAGATGTGGAGAAACTGGAATCCTACGCACTGTTGGTGGGAGGGTTTTTTGCTGTGGAAAATAGTGTGGCTGTTCTTCAAAAAGTTAAACACATAATCACCATATGATCCAGCCACTCTCCTTCTAGGTTTACAATCAGAAGAACTGAGAGTAGAAAGTCAGAAATAGTTCTTTGTACACCCATGTTCACAACAGCATTATTTATAATAGCCAAAAGTTGGGGCAATCCAGGTGTCCGTTGTTGAATGAATGGAAGAACAAAGTGTGAGGGATACATACATAGCTGCGGAGTGGAATATAATTCAGCCTTGAAAAGAAGGAAATTCGGACACGGACTACAAGTTGGGTGAATTGTAAAGACAGGAACAGCTATGTGAAATAAGCCAGTCACAAAAAGGCAAATCCTGTACGATTCCACTTATATGAGGTAGCAGGTGTAGTCGAATTCAGACAGTAGTCGGGAGGTAGAATGATGGTTGTTAGGAGCTGGGGATAAGGGAAGGGGAAGAATGGGGAGTTAGGATTTAATATTTGTTTTGTTAAGACATGCAGTAAATCACACATGGGGAGACAGGAAAGCCTAAATCTCCACATGTAACACATCCTTTATTTGACTATTTATGTAGTGTTTATGATGTGCCAAGCATTACTCCAAGGGTTTTGGACATATTTAATCAGTTCATCGCCTTAACAACCCTATGGGGAAGCTACTCATAGGAGCTCCATTTTACAGATAAAGAAATAGAGGCATGGACAGGTTAAATAATTGTACAAGACTGTGTGGCTAATATGCAGCCAAGCCAGGCAGTCTGGCTCCAAGGCCTAGGCCTGTAAGTACAGTACCGTTTTAAGAGACCTCCCACTCAGTTTTCAGAGAAACAATGAACATTACAGCAAACCACAAAACTGTGATCATGAATTATTTGAAAGGATTTCAGGCTGAGTCCAAACAGCTGTGTTCATAAATATTATCTTGTCGGAGGGGGGCGAGGCTACTGGCTAATTTGTTTTGTGGTTAAAGAACTTCGGTACATTTTATCTTATCATACCACACCACAAGAAATTAGTCCTGGTCCTTTCAGTTTCTAGAACAGACAATTTTACTCAGCACTGCTCATAACCTTGTTTGGTTTAATTAGGCACAGCAATTTTAAGCCATTTACTTTGTATGAGTAATATGACTCCATACACGCCAGTCATGGTTTACGGCGGCAGAAGAGTGCCCCTCTATGTTCCCATTTGATTTGGATAAAAGGGATTTTTTTTTCCCCTAAACATGCAGCAGAGTTAGGGAACATTTTATTATCTTTTGTGAATCATGGGTTGCAGAGTGGCGGGGTGGTGGAAAGATCAGATCTTGTGTCAGCTTCTGCATTAGCATTTACTGAGTCTCAGTTTCCACATCATGGGCAGGTATGAGGATTAAGTGAAATAATGTGTTAAGTAAAACATAAAAGAATTCTCAGAGTGCGTGGCCTGATGTCAGCAGCCGGTAAATGCCCAGCATTAGATTAACTGCTGTGGCTGTTGGAATTTTACTGGAGTTGCCCAAGACCTATGATCCTTTACTCTGAGATTCAGAAAAACAGAAGGGGATTCATTCCATCCCTTGACATTGCCTGAACTGTACTGGGGCCACCTAAAATTCCAGTGTTTTCCACACCTTTCTTTAGTTATGGGATTTGTTTCAAAAAGTGTCCAAACTTGCCACACGCAAGTCTGTTTCTTTCTGGAACTGTGTATATTGGAGAAAAAGGAAGTGTTCACCAGACTTTTGTTTTCTTCCTTTTTCTTCTGAGAAAGGGTCCCTCTGAATAGAAAAATCAGGGGCAAAAGAACCTTGTTGTGAGCGCCTTTTTATTGTTGGGCTGTTTATTTTTTTCCTTTTGATAAACAGTTTTATCAGAGGATTAATTTTGGCAATAACGCACAGATTCCGGCTCCCAAAGCAAACTGTGCGTGACTTCTAAGTAAGCATTACTCGGTTCTGCTGACCTAGGGGAAAATAAAGATAAAAAAAATTGCCCAGCCTAGTGGAAGAGGCCCTGGGCCGGGAGTTACATCTGGATCCAGGCTCGCCCTCCCATGGCCGTGACCCACCAGCGGCTTCAAGTCCGGCCAGGGATGGGAATCCTTCCGTACCCTCTCGGGGAGAGGAAAAACACACGGGTCCCTCTCCCTCGTCATCCCACCCACCGAGTTTCTTTGCTTCCCACTCAAGGGACTTTCGATGTCAAGTGCTGGGCAGATCGCGGGATCCGCCCAGGTGGAGCTCCCAAGCGTCCCTGGAGCAGCAGCTTCCCACGCCCCGCACAGCACGCGGAGCCGCTGCGGACCCCGTCGGTGTGCGGAGGCCCCGCCCATCTCTGCCCCCAGGCCCCGCCCAGCTCCGCCGCGGCCTCCCATTGGCGGCCCAGCGCGTCAGTCAGCCGCCGGGCTCCCGGGGCGGGAGCGCGGACCGCCGTCCCCACCCGGCACCTAGAGAGCCTGCCAGCCGCGGGGAAGCGATCCCCGGCGCCGGCGGGCGGACGCGGCGTCCGACTGACCGACGCGGGAGGCTCCGCGCCCGTTCGCAGCGCGCGGCCGGCATGGCGACGCGGAGAAGCGCCCCGGGGGCGCGGGCGCGGGAGCGGGAGGGTCCTTGTGCCCCCGCCGCAGGTGGGCCCGGGCCGGGGGACGGCGGGGCGGGGCGGGGCGGGGTGGGCGGGGGTCGGCGGGCAGCCCGGGGCGCGCTCTCCTCCGCTGGCGGTCGGCGCAGTCCGCGGCTTTGGGGTGCGACGCCCGCGCGCTGAGGGTTGGGAGGTCCGGGGGCGCCCCAAGGCGAGACGGTGGGGAACGGGCTGCACCCCCAAACGCCTCCGGCAAGGTTTGGGCTGCAGTCGGGGACGACTGTCGCGTCGCAGCTGCATATATAGGAACTGCTCTCGGGAGGCAGAGCTGTTTGGGTCGTGGCTGGGAGGGACCTGCGGTGGCGGGGAAGGCAGGTCCCTGGGAGGAGGGAGCCCTTCTTGCGGGCTGGAACCGGGTGGCGGTCGCAGGCAGCCGCTGGGGGTCTGGCCTTGCCGCCGGAGCGGCCGTGTCCCTTTCTCGGCGTCCCGTCTGAGAACTTGATTGTTGTCGGGGGAGTTGCAGGGGGGCGGAGGGAGTTGACGGGTTTCGCGCTTTGCTGGTGGAGGATGTGGGCCACACCTTTGCAGCCGTCAAGACTTGCTGAACAACAGAGAAAACTGGCCTTTGAACAACAGTGTCCCCAAACACAGGAGCAGCAATAGCACAGGTCTCGAGCTCGAGGATGGGCGCTGAGGCGGGGGCGCTCCGCCCACCCACCCCGCGTCTGGGCCGCTCGGCTCTCGGCGTCCGCGGCTGGGGTGCAGGGGAGGCTGTTTTCCTTCCCTTCTTCAGCTGGCAGCTCCGAGTGGGGGGAACGGAGCAGATTCTCATTTTGAGCACATTCCCGTTGCTGCTGGTGAATTTGGGGGGCATGCCTGCTCACAAACAGAGCTGGGGCCCGAGGTATTGCAGCGTTTATGGGAAGCTGGCAGGTGCCAGGACTGCTTATTTATTGGGGTTCTTGGTCTCCGGAGGAACTTTTGATTCACACCTGAGCTGTTGGGTGTGGTGGAAACAATGCCATTCTGGGAGTCAGGACAGGAGTTCTCGACTTGCTTAGAAGCCGTACTGGACTTTCATATCCTCATCCTCGTGGATGAAGACATGGGGGTAGCAGATCCGTAAGGCCATAAGGCCCCTCCCAGTCTAGAGTCCTATGATTGATTTACCTCCTAATCTCAGAAGTTTGGAAAAGGAACTCATTTTTCAACCTTTCTGTACCCTGAATTATTACAGGATTCGCCAAATATTTCCTGAGGGTGTAGTCATTTGAACTTTTTATGATGTGATTCCCCCCACCCCTTACCTTATTTTGGGAGAGAAAGCTAAAAGCTGGAAATGGAGGTAGGGCTCAGCAGGAGAAAGCTGGTTTGGGAGGGAGAAAGTTGCCTACTCTGGGCTTAACCTAATGGCCAGGAATTTTTCCTTCCAATGCATGGAGTTCAAGGTGTGCCAGCACTGGGAGCCAGAGAATTCTTTCCTCTCCGGCCTGTGGGAACTGCCGTTGGTGTGCAGCAGTGGAAAAATGTGATTCAAGGATCAGGTTATGGAAAACTTTTTTTTTTTTTTCCCTCCAAAACAGAACCCATAACCTCTGAGGACTTAGGAGCATAGTTTCCCTTCTTCACAGGTGGTGTTTGGGGGTGGGGGGAATTTCAAGGCCAGTTGCCAAAGGTAGGATGGGAGCAGGTTAGTTTTAGCTACCCCTCTTTTGGTAAGAGGAAGACCAAGGTTCACTTCTGAGATAATGGCAACAGCTAACGAGTCACACTTGTCAGTAAAAAACCAAATGGACAGCAGCCAGACAGCATCCCTACAGCGCAGGTAGGGATGAAAATAATTTTCTGGTATCCATTTTTACTCTTCTTAAGTGTTGGGACATTGAGAATCTTGAACTAAGCATCTGTGTATAATATGAGGGGAAAGACACTGCCAGAATTGGGATATTAGGGAAGTGGCACCCTAGATGATTTGGTGCAATGCCCTGAGGCTCCAAGACCCGGTGGGGGGAAGAGGACGCAGGGGGAGACCCACCCACTGGAGGAGAAACTCCAAGTCCTCCACATACCTTTGGCCGTAGGGCGCTTGAGGAGGGTACGCGCGTCCCACATCTTCCCTGGCTCTTCTTGCCTCTGGCCGGCCTCCGGGTCATTAGCTGTTAGGATTCATTCACACTCTGCCCTGGTTCTTCACCAAAAAGGCCGCAAGTCTGCAGCCATGTCCTCAGGAGCTGTGGGACCCCGGGATGGTCCCTAGGGGCTAGTCTGGGCTGCCAGGAGTGCCCCAGGTGGAACATGGGACCCAGCAGCCAGGTCCCCTGCCTCCAGCTACACATAGAACAGCTCTGCTTCTGCCTTTTGTCCCCCCAACACCCTTTCTCGTTTTATATGCTGTTCTGAGTAAAATTTTGCCTGGGGGGAAAGAGTCTAATGCTAAACAGAAAGTTTAAAAATCATGGTCATGGCCAATACTTTTCAGTTCTGTTGTTGTGTGTATCCCGTGTTGTCTTTATTCACAGGGCTTAGAACTGTGACCAGCCCACAGTAAGCACTTGCCGCTATCATCATCATCATGTCCTTACACCACTTACTTTTATCCCTATTTTATTGCTACCAAGTCACATCCAACTTGTACAAGATTTCCCATGTAAACTTCTCTACTAGTTAAAAGATGTGTTTCTCCATATCATGGAATACACTATTCCAAAGCCGTTCAAGGATGACTTTATGTACAAAGCAGATGATCCACTGAATGCATTCTTTGCCCCGTTCCCTTGGGCAATCCAGGTAGCACACTGGGGAGACAGTTGAGTTTGCCTGGTGAGCACTTCTGTGTTTAAAGGGAGAGTGGGCAAATCCAACAGCTAAGGACCAGGCAGCCAGCTGGTCCATGGCAAGAAGAATGACGAGGATTGTGGAGCTCATACATTCCCTCCTCAGCATGGACTGCAAAGGGGTGCCACCAATTGTGATCTTATTCTAGAATCAGCGCCTTCAAAGACTCTGCTCTCCAGGACCTGAACAGTGGCCGGTGGGCAGGATGATTTGCTGGCAGGGATCAGTGGGTGCCAAGGAGGAGAGGAATGAGTAGCTCAGGTTCTTTGTTATTTGTAACCTTAAAGATAAATATTTTCCATCTTTAAAAGACAGTTTGAGGCTAATAATACATTACATGTTAAGCTTGTAAAAAATTAAAGAAAAAGTAATCTATTTGGGGGCACCTGGGTGGCTCAGCTGGTAAGCATCTGCTTCGGCTCAGGTCATGATCCCAGTGTCCTGGACTGAGCCCCATGTCGGGCTCCCTGCTCAGTGGGGAGCCTGCTTCCCCCTCTCCATCTCCCCCATGCTTGTGTTCCCTCTCCCACTATCTCTGTCATAAATAAAATCTTAAAAAAGAAAAAGTTTGAAAGCTTAGGAACAAAAACAAACAAAACCCCAATGCTGCAATTAAACACACACACAACAGAATGTTTAAAACCAAACGGTCCGTAGTTGGTATTTTTTGCCAGCCTCTTTGCCCCACTTTGAAACTTTTATGTTTCTGTGAGATGGATTCGATGCCAAACACAATGACACGATGTACGTTTCGTAGCAGGGGCTTAGCTAAGTAGAAATCCTTGACTGGCACAGTTACGAACTTGAAAATGACCTTTCACCTGGCTTCCCGGTGTGGGTGGGCGCTGTCTCCTCTGCCTATAGTACCACAGTTGTCCTTGCCACGGAAAATAGTGGGCATTCGAAAGAGACACAGCCTGTGGATAGTCTCAGGTACCCTTCACAACCGCCACTCCGTCGGAATTTGCTCCAAGTTCCCAGCTAGTAAGTAGTGGTCAGAATTCGAACCCAACCCTGGCAGCCTGGCTCCATCTAAAACCGATTGTTCACTGTCCACCTCTTCTGTCTCCTGAAACTTGGATCAGGATTCTACCTGCAAGCACTGTCATCTCCCAGTTCCCTCCCCATATGTCAACTCTTCCCAATTCAAGTTGGGTTATCACTTTAATACCCTGTTGCTCCCTGTAACTCACAGGTCTGGGGGACAGAAGAAGTGAGATTATGATAAAGTCTTCATGATTGAGCTAAAACTTCCAGCATTGTGGTTGCTTCTTTGTAGCTATGAAAGCCGCTGCATCATCTTGAGAGGAGTGAGTGAGTTATCAGGCCCCTGGATTTGACCTTTTTCTCCTGTTCGCTTGACATTGCTTGTAAACGAGCAGTAAACGTAAAGCAGTCTGCTCTCAGAATCGAGGTTGCTTACACGTTTATTGACTTGTAATTAACTTGATGGGAGAACAGATCAATGTTATTTCATAATAAATCAACACAGAAAAGGTTTTGTTTATGTGCCCCTTTTGCCAGTCACTTTTTGTTCTGGTCATACCCCATTTTACTACTTTCTTGTTTCACTGGAGCCAGAAGAGACAGATGGCATCGTTTTTAAAATAAGAGGATGATAAAATGCTTACGTTCATTTCTAGGAGACTAAGGACTGTTGCAATACTATTGCTGGGATTTTCAAGTAATAAACAAAAACCGGGGTGCCTGGGTGGCTTGGTTGGCTAAGTGTCTGCCTTCAGCTTAGGTCATGATCCCGAGGTCCTGGGTTCGAGCCCCACGTTGGGCTCTCTGCTCAGTGGAAAGTGGGCTTCTCCCTCTCTGTCTGCTGCTCCCCCTGCTTATGCTCTCTCTTTGTCTCTCTATTTCTCTATGTCAGATAAATTTTAAAAAATCCTAGAAACCATCGAGTGTAAAATGCCATGCTCCATGAATCTCTGAATTAAGAATTTGATAGTGAGCCTTTTGTTGTTGATTTAACCAGGTATCGATGGCTCGAGTCTATGTGGGATTGTTGGATTGTAGATCTGTAGTAATTTAAAATATTCTATTAGCACTTTCTCTTCTTGCCCTGTAGTTGGCTTTAATGAATGTTAGGGTTAGTCTTCTAGCAGAGAGAAAAGTACTGTAATTGCAAGTTGGTTCCTCCAGACACGCCCTTCCCCCCAATTCAGACAGAAGTGGGATCGGATTCCACATCAAGGACACTGCCCT